TTGAGATTTCTGGAGGAGACGGAGTTACATTTTGGTCTGGATGAGCAGTGGTTTCTTTTATCCTGTAATAGAAATATATTAAATTAATGACAATCATTCATAATTTGGTTTAAAGTTAAAAGTTAAACATATTTTTAATCAAGATATATAATAATATGTTAATAATTTACAAATTTAAGCAGAAAGGATTTGGACCAAGAGCTGCAATAATTCATTGTAGTTCTCTCCTTTAACAAAGCAATGTAAAAATATAATACATGGCTTACAGTATTCCTAGAAAAAAATTCGCATTTTAAGTTAGCGCTTTTCGCTGTAGGCATGATTCCGCGAATCTTTATAGCTGCGAATATGTCACTTATAACAAATCCGTGAACATTTCAACCAAATATAAACATAAATGTGCAGAATATTTATTATAATCTAATTACACAAAAAGTGCTATAGAAATGTGTAAAGAAATATGTATGTATGTTATAGATACCTGTTTGGACCCTGAATAAAATAAATTGTCAATTATTAGTAGTCAAGACGTTTACAAAAGCATTTACAGTTTGTGTACATTGAATGGCTTGGTTTTTATTTGCTTGGAGTAGGTGTAATCCTTTGTTAAAATTACAATAGCGATCAAGAGCTACACTGATAAGCAGCTGTTATGCTGTTATAATAAAAGTGATGTACAGTGGGACTGTCCGATACTGAGTAAAAAAATACGTATCAACATTTTGAAGATAAAGTCAGTTATGATTCAAATGAGAATAAGTGCTAACAGGTCTGACTATATCTTACTTAATCATATAATGAAAAAGGTAAGTAAATAAGATAAAAGTGTTCACGGAACAACTGTCTGTGTTCGACAAGTCAATAGATGAAAGGGTACTGTCAAAAAAAATTAAAAGAATTAAAAGTATCCAACAGGCGAGGACATGTATCAAAAACGTAGTCTCTTTAAATTTTTTATATTCGCGAAATTCGCCGTTACTACAAATCCGCGAAAATGCTGACTTTGTGAAAAACGCAAAATATTGTATCCGTGAACATTTCTAGGAATACAGTATTTCATTTTAATTAAACCCTATAAAGAGAGAAAAAAATCAAAGTTATTTACAAATATGTAAGTAATTAAACACTATGTTGTATGACAACTAGCATGTTACATGTTAGAACCTTTTTGTATCTCTTATAAATTTATAAAAAGTGCCAAAAATGCTTTTCCTTCGCACTCCAATACTGCTATTTTCATGCATAATTTTCACCTTAAAACCATGTTTCAATAAGTAAAGGCAAAGCCTCAAAACGAGCTCTTTGACAGAAATTACAATACATTTCATAAATATGATCACATTTATTAAAATAGAGAAAAGGAATCCCTAAAGAACGCCAAAACAACAAAATTGAAAATATTGCAGGCTCAGTTGGCCCTTTAACGGCTGCATACTTTTTACTTCAATACACTTAGAACTGCACACTTTAGAAATTTGATTTATTTCGTCCAAAAAATTCACTTAACACTAGTAGTACTACATTCTATTTTTTACTTTCCAAATAAGACCATTTCATATTTTATATGATATCTGAATTGAATACACCCTTCATTAGTGAGTACATAAATTCACTTAAAATTAAATTTAACAATAAGTAATTCCATCTCAGGTAAAGGATATCCTAAAACAGGAATGTATCTGAAGTTGATATTGACTCACTATCTATTTCTATTTATTCTATATTTTATGAGTAAGTTGTGTACAAACTGTAAAGGTATTTTTTTAACTGTAATATTATCAAAAATTGCTCTGTATACTTGAATCAGTCAAAATTTAGGTACTTAATGATGAATTCATCAAATGACAATAGTGAAAGTGCTAAGAATCCCATTTCATGAAAAGGTACATTTGCAAAACTTGTTAATAGGATTGATGGTAATCAGCAAAGGATTCCAAATGTCAATTTAAATGGGACCATAATGGCACAGGAAACCAGAAAAACTTTTGCCCGGCTAGCTATGTTAAAGAATTGTGCAGGTCACATGCTGGTACAGATTCCTGGCGTGCTCCAAATATAATAGGACAGGGAACCAAAATAAGCTCTGATGAAAAGCAGGCATACTAAAAAAAAAATATTACCCAAAATTTTGCTTTCCTTCAGGCAAATGTTCTCAAAACCATCACTTCTTAATATACTCTTGTTACTGATATGCTAGCTTTGGGAGCAGGCCCTTTGGCTTGGTCATCAGGCTCGCAATCAACAATTAGACATTTGATTAACCAATTTGGAGAAAAATTTTCAGAGTAATTTTGGAAATTGGAAAAAACTGCCGTTTCATTTTGTATTGGAAAAATGTGTCGTTTTCTGGTATAAGGTACATAAGGGGGAGGTGGGGCTTAAAGTAATAATAAGCAATTTAATTTCATGGGTAACCGTAAAAGCTTAATTTTCAATTTACTTACACAGTACTGCGATTATGAGATCCCATTGAGCATTTAAAATAGTTCCATCTATCCACTACATATCCTTTCCTACATATATTACCGCATTGTCTGTCTACAAAGAAAAGTTAATATACCGTTCATAGTGATACAACTAAACAGAAGATTTTTTTTGCAGCTTACTGGCAGAGGAAGTCCTTCAGTACATTATTTCCGGCACAAACAGGCACCTGAGTAGAACCACCAACATTCCTTTAGCAAGCTATATATCAAACATATTTAAAACTCCTTCTGCATTTCCAAATGGTTCTTGATATAAACAAGAGCATCCATGTGGTGTCCACACTAGACTATTACGGTCAATTATTATCAATAACCAATTTTTACAAATATTTTAAGTTAAAAGGAGGCATAACTCCTAAAAATATTGCTTTCAGGAGCTCACTACTGTGATTGTCATGATAAGCAAGTATTCCACTTTTTGTGTTGATAACTTTTAAAATGTTTGAATTATGGGCTGCATGAAAGTTTTTGCTTGACTCCCAACAACAATGCATTGTTCATTATAGCTAGACCTTTTCTTGGAAACAGGCAAGCCAACAATAGCTTTCAATAGGAAAGCTGCTCATAATGTAGAATTTTCTTAGTTCAAAAAGGACCATTATTCTGTGAAAATCCAAGTTAAAGTTAAAGGCCTTAGACAGTGACCTATAAAGCTCTAAAATAAGCGTGTGAATTTCAACCCATTCTCTTCAGTAGTTTTAAGATTCCAACTTGCATGCAAAAACATAACCAAAGTATGGCGCTGACACCTGGGTTAGTACAATAGGCCTCCCAATTCTATCAACAGTCAAGCTATAAATGTGATTAAATATGGCAGCCAGCAGTATAGCCTAGCCAAATTGTGTTCATGTGCTGACCTGCCTTACTCTATATCCATTATCGCCAGGAGCAAAGTAAGCTTAGATTGATTATAAAATTGGAAGAGCTTCACAAGGAATACATTATTCTTACTTGGTAAAAGTCGCTTTCCTGGTCCACATATACTCTTAAATGTATCCAATTTTTCACAGACAGAAACTTCATTATGAGCTAAACTTGTGTACATCTTTGAGGTGTCCGAGCTTACAAATCCATTATCAACATCACAGTATCCACGACCCGGATGGGTATTATTTCCTGAATATAACACTTTAATACCCCAATATGAAATCAAGCCTGGATCTTCATGTTTAAAATCAGTGCACGCTTTGAAGCAGTCATCACGGACTGGCTGGAAAAATCCATCTGGGCAAACACTTTTCTGTATCACAATTTGCTGGTGCTCGTCATCAAAGAACACCTTGTTCATTTGTCCTTAAATATGTAAAATTACAATTTCAAACATTAAATAACTTTTAATTTCAACACAGGGCTTTTTCCCCTTCAATTGTCGAGGCCACTTACAGGTGTCTTCCCCTAAGAAAACTCCCCTCAAAAAAAAATGTTAAAAATAATTCAGTTCTCTCTTAAAAGTCAATTAAGAAAATTTATTCTTTCCCTTTAGCAAAAAATAATGTTATTTTCCCAAATGTACCAGAAGGATCCCTTCCAGTCCTCTTCTTTTAGGGTGTAACGGTATAATATCTTAAGGATGGTATCTCATTACTGTTTCCACAGTTCAGTTCACGGTAGACAAAATACCCAAATGGAACGGCATGGTCCGACATTTTTAACCATTTTCATTGGGAGTAAACCGGGTAATTATTAAGTAACAACAGCAAATTAATATATCCACCTCAGTTAGTTTTAACTAGAAAATATAGAGACATTTCTACTAGAAATGTGTCCATAGGACACGGGTGTCCCTACACCCCACTGTTTTGACAATCTTATTGACTCTAGGTCAAAAAGCTCAAAAGTTGGTTGATTCTAAAGTTATCGTCCTAAAACTACTTTTCTATTTTGAGTAACAGTGACCTTGACCCCAGGGAGTCAAAAAACAACACACCAGGGTACTCAAACAAGCTTGCAATATACCAAGTTTGATTTAAGTATCTCATTCCTGGCATAACACTTACATCCTTCTTCGTGCATTCCTATTTGAAGGGGTAAATAACCCTAAAAGTTTGAGAATGACCCCTTTAAGAGAATGTTTGTTTGTTTGTTTCATTTTACGCCTTTTCCCAACAGTATTTAAGTCATATAGGCGGGTAGTTTCCTAACCATCGTTCCTGGAGAGTTACACCAGTACTAGACTACCTTCCTCCGCGCTAAACTACCAAAGCATCTCCTGGGGATCAAACCCTCTCCAGAGAGGTAACTGGATTAGAAGTCATCATCTCTAACCCCTCCACCACAGAGGCAGTTCGTAATTTTCTTAAAGATAAATGATCTTTGTTACATCTTGAAGGGTCCATCATTCTTGAATATCAGACAGGATTATCTACTGTTTACACTGATGGTAGAAAAATCTACCTAAAAATACTGTATTAAGTTTGGGTATTAAACTATCAAAAACAATTTATCAGCAATATGAAGTCTGTTCCATCTATGCAATAAAGCGCAAAATGGTATAGCTCTACACTCACAACTGCTGTTATAACTGTTTATGTAAAAACATAGAACTAAACTCTACATACCTTTTTCACAAATTTGAGGCTCGAAACAGAACTCTAAAACACCTCTGCCACCTTTATCATTTTTGCATACATAGGTGGTACCTGGTTCACATTTGAAACCGCAAGACTTTATCCTTAACTTCAGAGAACTGTTCGAGTCAGGACAAGAAAACTTCCTCTTATTATGACAAACAGCAAAGTTTTGGGAATTGAGTTCCTGTACATATACTTCTGTGTCTATTGCATTCAACACAGGAAGAAATATGCAAAGCAATATACCAGTAAATATCATCATCTGAAAGAGAAGAATTAGGTTTGGTTATCTCAAAAATGTTTTTAGCATGTGAAAGTTGGAGTCTTACGGTAACCTGCAATACTATCAGACCTACTTCAATACATTTCCTATAGTCTCACATTAGTATCCATACTGTTCTTGTTTAACCAATGAAATTTTCTGTAATAAGAGAAGATAACTCTAATTTCCAACTTGCTGAGTAATAAAAGAAATACCCCTGCTCAGGCCTTGACATTTAACTTTTTTATTTGGTTGTCCTGTCGGGCAAGTACTTTTGAAAATTACTTGCCCTGACCCAAAGCTTGCTTGCCCTGACCTAAACCGGTAAAGTGTTGAAAACAACCCTACATTTATAAGTAAGGTTTGAGAAAAAGGGTTGGCAATCTTTGAAAATGGGGTTTATTTATTCTCTAATCATGCATGGGTTTCATTATAAGCCGTACAGGCTTACAATTTTAAGAAATTAAGACATTTTGTGACAAAATCATACTCATTTTTTCACTAAAATTGGTTGGAAATAGAAGGAAGGTTAAAAGGGGCTAAACAAGATTTTAAAATGTTTTCAGTAATTAAGTTACATGTATTTTGAAGAAAAAAAAGTAAAAAAAAATGGTTATTGTGACAAAAAAAAAGTTTTGTGCATTTGATATATAAAAATCACTTAGATATAGTACTTTCTTCATAAAAGAATTTTTATAAAGTTGTGGACAGAAACTTTGTAGGTTTTTTGTTTACCACGTCTTAAGTCGCGAAAATATGTGACAATTTCATTTACCGATTTTGTATTCTTTTTACTTTCTTAATTTACATCTTTTTTCCTTGTGGATATGACTCTGTAACACATTTGTAGATGAATTGTTATTATTTTCACAATTATCTACAGGAGAAACGGATATACGATAAATTTTAGATTTTAACGGCAAAAATAAACAGCCAGAAATCGTCAAATGTTTAGACGGATAAATTAAACTATAAGTTCAAGGTTGTGATTTGAACTTCAACAGGGTTTGAACACCTTTAATAAGAAGAGGTGTTGACATAATTAATAATGCTAATCAAGTTTTGACATATTCATCAGACAACCGGATAGTCTGTGTACATGTACAATTGCCCCTGCTGTGAGGTTCGTTATTTATCGTCTCCACAAATGTGATTCGTTCTAATTAAGATTGAAATTGTAATTTGCAAGAATTATTGGTCATAATATTGGAATTTAATATGTTTACTTATGATTTTTTTCACTTGCCCTGTCGGACAAGTACTTTTGAAATTCACTTGCCCTGACCAAACTTTTGGTTGTCCCGGGCAGTCGGACAACCGTTAATGTCGAGCCCTGCTGCTTACCCTGTATGGCCAGGTTGCATGGCTTAATCGATCAAAGAACGAGACTTGTAATATTATAAAGTTAGACGTTGAAATATGATTTCTTTTCAAAACGGCTTATATTAATTTTTTTTATATAAAAAAAATTATAGGCCTATATGATCAGTACATGTGCTGGGATTGACCACAGGTGCTCGTCCAGTCTTGGTGCCCATATAAAAAAATTTACGTTAAAAAAAAAAATTTGAAAACAAAAACCACCTAAACAACAATTCTGGGTCGAGTGAAAAAATACATTATACATCCCTATACATTACTACGAAAAGGTCACCTAGTCGCCGTAACGCAATGGAGCTTTACTAGGACACGCTGTGGAACAACCACAATGTTGAGTTCTGTAACAATACAAGCTACAGAGTTCCAGATAACATGCGTATCGGCGTATTTTACGCTTCAAAATCAACTCAATACGCACCATATTTCAAATTTCTTGCGTTAATTTACGCATGCTATAAATTAAATACGCAAAGAATAAAAAATCGAAGCGTTTTTGGTGTGTACTTTCATTTTCAAAACAGCTGATTCCGTTTCCGTTTAACATTTGACTGCGTTTCTTTTTTCCGTTTAATACCCGCCCAAATATTTCCAACTATTTTTCATTCTGTAAACCAGTCAAATTATGTCTTTATCGCATAGGCGTTTGCTAAAATGTGTTGCTTGATTTCCTTTATTATTGCAAGCTTTTATTAATAAAGACTTACATCATGGCTGCTTCCAAGCCAAAGCACAGGAAAATTGACAATTTTTTTAACACGACTGAGTTGCCTGCTAAAACAATTGTAAACCCAATTGTTGAAGACATTTTAGATAGTGTATTTAAAGTGAAAAGGGCTCACATAACTGTGAATCGCAATACAACACTTGAAAATTGTTAAAATTTTTTAAGTTCGTGGCTGCAAATTATTGAACTGCAAATGAAATGTCTGACTTGTCATAAATTTAAAGCTGGCAATGTATGGGCTAATGAAGGTGCAATAAATATACAGAAATCAGCAATTGACAAGTGATAATTTGTAATGTTATAGTTTATGTATTGTCACCGATTTTTGTTGTAAACAATGTAAAACAGTCTTCGACTTAACCCACTCGACCGACGACCGAGTCGAGTAAATTTGCAGGTGGTCGAGTGAAATTTCCAAGCTGGTAGCCCGTTAGGTCGAGGGCTTTTTTCATATCCAAATTAAGAAAATGTTGGAAATATGCAGAGCTCCAGATAGCAATGTTTTGGCTTTATGAAAATACAATAGATTTCTGCTGAATTGGATGGAAAACTAAAAGTGCTATTGTCAACATTGCTGTAAGTTGAAAACGAAAGTAGCAGGAAGTGACATCGAGTAAAAAGGGAAGGTAACTCTTGGGAGTTTCTGAAATGAAATTATTGATAAAGTTAAATTTGGTGTAATCATCGTAGGACTTAACAAAATATTCAATTTGTTTAGACATATATTATAATTTTTTTGCTACAAAATAAAGGAAAATGTTGTACTTGCCACTTTATTTATTGGAAAACATATTTCTCCCTTGCCATCTGCAGTTTTGTACTCATTATTTTCGTACCAAGTTTACAGTTACGGACAATTTCCTCAAAGACTAATTCTTTGTGTATAAAAGTTTTAATTCTATTATATTTATTTTTCATTAATTCTAATTTCAATTATAAATAATCAAAACCAAAGAACGGCACTAAAATGTATTCTGTAGAAATAGAGTATGAATAAAGCCTCATGCTGACCATGTAGCTGATTGTAAAAGAATGTGACACATTCAAACAACAACATGTCAGCAACAAAAAAATGAGTCTTGTCATTAATTTGCTGTGTAACCTAAACAAACCCTAGTCTAGGGAAGCCTGCCTTAACAGAGCAAGTTTTGTATTATTTCACATTGAATCAATATTTTATTATTTATGTAAGTCAGACTGATTTATGTAAAGAAAGGAACCTTTTAGAAGGCAATGAAATTTGATAACAAAACAATGCAAATTCTTTTTATAAATTTTACCCCAGAATTTTCATTTTACTCTAGATTTTGATGGGTAAACCACCTTGGCCCTAAAAATTATTTGCAGCTTTATTGAACTTAAAACGCTTATGAAATATTATTGATTGTTAGACATTTATTAGGTGTCATCTCATGCTTCACAATATGTCTTTTCTCTTGTATTTTGAAGGCACTAAGCCAAAAAGGAACACACCAAAAAAAAAAAAAAGTAATACGAAAAGGAATATAAATTTGTTGTCAATGCATGTACCAGCCGACATGGTTACAGTAAACGAGGAGAAGAGTATTTTCAGTTTTTAAACAATTTTTTTTCAGTGTCTATGGACAATGCCACAGAAATATCAAAATATCTTCTTTTCATATGTAGTTTAAACTCTTCTTATTTAAATAATGAAAGGAAGAAAAGTTGATTAGTTGATATTTTAATAATGTTAAATGGTATATAAAACATATAGAAAGTGTTATTTTTGTACAAAATGTATGCAAAAAATACCATTTTGGTTCGGGATAGTTAAAATGTGTTCGGGCTAGTGAACTTTGTAAGCTGCTAGCCCGACTGGGCTAGTGCTGATAAAAAATTAAGGCGAAGACTGGTAAAATAAAATTAAGAATATTGTAAAAGCCTTTCAATTGAAGTGATTTCACACTGAAGCCTGAATATCGGAGAATGGGTGTGTTAATTTTAATGTAATAAACCTGTGATGCAGCAAAAAAAGTAAAGTCATTTAATTGTACTCTTTAGATTTATGATATATCTAAATTTACCCTCACATTCTGAAAAGTGGGGGTAATTACCCCCAGTGTCAAAAAATTATCTGGAACTCTGAAGCTATTTTGCTACTCTTTACATAGTCCAATAGATTAGACGTTACAGGCTTGTTATAGTTTTATGTTGGTCAAGCCTGACGTCTAATAGTTATTGCTATTAAATAAACGCGTAGCATTTTGAAAAATTAAAAAAATGTCTGTTGACTTGCCTTTCAAGCTTTATTCAAAAGCCTATCTTCTGTTCTTTCAATTGCATGGTCTATCATTAACAAAAACTTTCAAACAATGTACTTATCAATTAAAAATAAAATATCAATCTATTTCGCTCATCGGCCATACTGGTTAAGTAATGCATTTTACAGATTGATTCCAATTTTTTGAACAGAAAAATATATTCGAACACACTGACGGTGCATGGGAAATTATTTCGTTGAAAAAATATTCCGTTAGAAACTTCTGGACTCATTTAAACGCTTGCATTTGAATTAGCCAATCAGACTTCGCGCACTGTATGGCGGCCATTTGTATAGCGGCTGTACAAGGTATTTAATTAAATGAGAGGATTTAATCATGACTTTTCGGATGTGACAGTTCAATTATTTTATTAAAAGGTATTTATTTTTTAGTTTTGTTCATAATTAGGTCAAAATTAATGTAAATACACGCTGTTTTGTTTAAATGCATTAGATCTAAATCGATGTCTAATGTCATTTTTTTTTGCTACACGATTTTGCAAAGATCTGTTAAGACTTAACGTAACATGGAAAATGAAAAATGTAAAATATCAGATTATTGAATGATAAATATGAAATAGGTTACGTATAGGTCTTATAATTAGGACTACTCTTTACACAACATGCATTTAGAAAATTGTTAACATTCTTCTTCTACATTACCTACAATCTTAAATAACAATAACTTACATTTAAACTCGGCAGAGCTCCAGATAGCGTGCGTATAAGCGTAAAATACGCATAGAAAATCTAAAATACGCATCACTTTCAAAATTCGTGCGTCACAGTTACGCACAACAAAATGAAAATACGCTCGTATGTCAAAATTTATGCGTAAAAGAATAGAAGTGTAAACATTTGATATGTAGAAAGAAAATGTTTTGAGCCTAAAATACAATATATTTCCATTTAATTGCATTGAAAACTAAAAATTCTGTTGTCAACAACGCATGTTAAAAACGAAAGTAGCAGGAAATACAGAAGGGAGGTAACTCCCGTAGATCTATCAACCTGTGAAATTATTGATGAAATTTGTGCCAGATAATCATCGTAGGAGTTAACACAGTATTAAGATTGTTTAGGCATCTATTGACATACTTATGCCTCAATATAAACAAAAATATATTTTAATTTCTTTAACTTTAGTTGTTGGGACAAAATAACATGTTATTCACCTGCAGTTTTGTACTCAATATTTTCGTACCCAGTCTACAGTTATGGACAATTTTCTCTCAGACCAATATTTTTTTTTAAGGAAAGATAAAAAAATCTTGTTTACGTTTCTTTAATTCTAATTTCAACTATAATTGTTCAAACTGGAGTACATGATAAGGTACATGCCAACAAAAATAAAGAAAGAAAAATATTGACTACTAGAAAATAAAATAACTTGAGGGCTTCCACTAGTGGAAGTTTGGGAGTCTTTTACTCCTTCAATTGGCCTGTGACTTCCAAAATTCAATACTTTCCTTCTTTACCTATATTATGTGACTTCCAATATCAGAGATTTTGAAGTCTTTGACTTCCAAATTTTGAAAATGGAAGCCCTGATAATTTTGCTGTGTATCCTAAACTTGAGTTCCAGTATACTCTGGAAGTCTGACTTTACATGGCATGTTTTGTATTGTTTCACATTAAATCAGTATTTAATTTGTAAAGGTTCATCTAAAAAAAGAAAATAAACAAACAAACAAACACAACAATAAGTTTAATTTGTTTATAAAAAATGCAAAATGCTTTTTTGACAGATTTTACCCCTTAAGTTTTTCAGAATTTGCATTTTACCCCTCACTCTAAATTTTGAGGGGTAAAAACCCCTTGGCCAAAAAAATTATCTGGAGCTCTGACTCGGACACTCCAATTTGTTAAAATCTTGCAAAATTCCGTTGATGGTCGGCCATTTTGTCGGAAACTAAAGTACAAAACCTACATCGTACTGTTCCGCTCTCCTGGTTTCCTACAACTGCGTTCGCAGAACAGGAGACAACGGTAACCATCAATTTATTGGTTACTGTTGTCTATTGTTCAGGACAGTACGGTGTATGTTTTGTACTTTCGTTTTCGACAAAATGGCCGGCCATCAACGGAATTTTGCAAGATTTTAACAAATTGGAGTGTCCGAATTTAAATGTAAGTTATTTAAGATTGTAGGTAACTGGTAAGGTAGAAGAAGAATGTTAACAATTTTCTAAATGCATGTTGTGTAAAAAGTAGCAAAATAGCTTGTATTGTTACAGAACTCGACATTGTGGTTGTTCCACACCGTGTCCTAGTAAAGCTCCATTGCAGTTACGGCGACTAGGTGACTTTTCCGTAGTAATGGTAGATTCTATATAGGGGAAAAAAAAATTTTTTTTCTTTCACTCAACCCAGAATAGTACTGTAAACTGTTGTTTAGGTGGGTTTTTTTTTTTCAATTTTTTTTTTCAAATTTTTTTTTTTACTTCAATTTTTTTATATGGGCACCAAGACTGGACGAGCATCTGTGGGATTGACAAATATACTTTTAATATTGCCCTTTTAATTTGGAATTTAAAGGCGTTTTAAGCGCCGCACCCCAAGTCACGTGTCTGTGATAATATGCTGATAATTTGAGTGATTCATAACTGCACACTAATTAGTGTTACTTTTAAAATTTCACATCAAGCGAATGTTACCAGAAACAGTGAACTAAATGAAATGTTTGCTTACATTCACTTATTATATTAGCCTTAGGGCATTTGCTGATTCTGAAATCATGTGCTTCTCGAAACTTCTCGACTTGTCGCCTGCCTTTAATACAGGGGGGAACCAGATTATGGACGAAATTGACTAGACACCGGAAAGGCACCATTTCTGCGGAAAAGACCTAGCATGACCGGACGATTTCAATAAATTTTATCAAGGATAGGTTCAAGTCAAACAAAATTTACATTTTGACATACATAATTCCTTTCAAATTTATAATTTACTTCGCATGAACGTTAAAATAATTCACATGACCCAACGAAATTTCTATACAGTACAGTAAATATCCATCGGGATTTACCTGTTGCATTCAAATTATAACAAGAAAAGCATTGATGCAAAGCATCAAAGGGCGTCCAAGCAAGAAATGCAGCAAGTGAAGATGAACTAGTAGACATATGATGACAAGATATTCTTATAAACTTTTCAATGGTTTTTACCAGTATATCACTTATGAATGAGCGGACGAAAGACATTGTTCATTATGAACTTTGATTGTCATGCTAGAGATTAGAATATTACTTGTTATTTCCTCATGACCGTGGTTATTAATAGCAACGGATTTTGTGTGTTTGCGTTTGTTTACCCTCGCCACTGGAAAGAGACCATATGGGCGAGCAACGGATATACATGTATACAATCATTTATAATCCATATGTGTAACGCATGATCAACACCACACTTGTGTAATTTTCCCTTATTATGTTATCGCTATTAGCGAAGACTCCCGCGCATATGCACTTGTTTCCCTTCAGTATTTTATTTCCTCCACGTGGGAGAGCCAATGTTAGTGTTTTTTACGATTGATTATTTTCTTTATTAGTTTTATACAATTTAGGGAATGGATTTCAAATAGTTTTTGACAAAAAATATTCGTTTTTACAAAAAAAGTTGTTACTGTTATCGTCAGCATGTTCCGGTTCAGTTATAATCAGTGGACTTCTGGTCCATCTTTTGTCCAAATTGGCATGCATAGCACTGGTGGCACAAATCGTCCAGTCTTGGGTTACCCTACCTACCCCTTTAAAAGTGAAACTTTTTTTTTTTCGAAAAAAAAATATCCTTAATAAACCCTTTATGATATACAAATAATTTTTAAAAAAATAGTGATAATAAATTGACTCTCTTTACCTGTAAAAAACATAGGTACATTTACTGGTATATCAAGGTCATTTTTTTTTCAAAATTATTTCTTTATCATAATTACAGAGTTGATTTAGGAGTTTTCTAAAAAAAAAAAAAAAAAAAAAACATTTTTAAGGGATGGGATGATGGCACAACTGGGCAAGCCTTTCCTTTTAAAAGGAAACTTTATTGGCGACCGCGCCGAAGCGCGGCGCCCCTTTATGGAATGAAATCAGATTTTGTGAAAGGGCGACAGCAACTTCTCGAGCCTTTTAGTCGGTCATAATAAAAGCCGATCATTCCGATTCTTAATTATTAATTAATCCGTGGTACAATGAATAGCGAACTTTCAAACATTTTCAAATGAAATAACCTTTTCCGTCAATAAATCGCGCTCTTCGTTTTTTTTATTTACTCAGTGGGTTATTAATTATGGTATGTTATTGTTGTACATTTATCCGAAAGCTGTAAATAGAATGATGAGTTGATGACCTAAATATTCCGAAAATCTATTTATAGAGGGATGTGCTCCTATCGGTAATTCCCGGTCTCTCCCGGTCTATTTTGACCGGGATTTACTATAGTGACCACACGTTTATCGTTCGGTCTCTCCCGGTTTTGGAGTTGATGTTTGATATCGTTACAGAACAGAACAAATTATTTACAGATAAATATAAGCTTTTTTTCCAAAATGAATGTTTGTCAGTTAATTTGGTTACAATAATTAATGAACACAGATCAACTCTCAAATTTATTGATTTTTCTGTACGAAATCTGCTGTGGTCATAGTATTATTTTTACAATAGGTTTATCTCTTAGATTTGGTTCGCTAAATTGCTAATCATGGTCATGCAACTACATAGTTAGGTGAAGAAGCAGGCGCTTGTTTTGGTTGAGTCTATTATGTTTTGTTTAGGGGGTGAGTTGTCATACACAAATTTACAATTTATATGCATTTATTTTTTGCCAATGATTGTTATTATCTTAAATGCTTCTGGGATTGTTGTTTTATCAATTCATTTCTAAATAAGATTGTTATATGTCTATTAACGGAATAATTTTAATGAACACGAAATTAGTTCACACCTACATGTGTATTGGTAACGTGTAGGGCTGGGGCGAGTATCCGAGTACTCGGATAATCACGAATCAAAGTGAAAACTCGAGTTTGAATATTCGTAAGCCCTGAGATCGTGGATCGCGATTTAATCTTTTTATATACTTTCACTGTTTCTCACACTCTTAAAATCGAGAAAAATACGATTTGAGCATAAATAATATGAAGTTTACCTAAATACAATTAATTTGCCAGTTAAAGACCATGTACCATGATGCTGAGCTAGGAAGTAATTGGTTTCAAAAAACAAAACAAAAATGCTCATCCAAAGAATAAAAACATAAACCTGGTTTATATTTTATATGTTTAATGTTTAGTATATTGTGTTTTTTTTTAAATAAACATGTTTTATAACTAATGTACATGTTTTTATGGGTGTCTTGATAACAAAATATTTGTGGTTTGATTTGTGAATCGTAAGTGCTGAATCGTGGTTCGGATCGGATCGTTACTTATCCGACGATCCACACCCCTAGTAACGTGATGGTTTAAGCCAATGAAAACACGTCAATATTATTATACTCAGGCAGAGAAAAAGTGTGCAAAGAGTAAATCGATAATCTTTATGTAGCCAGTAAACTTTGAATTGCAAGTATTTTTTCATATCTTTTCGGCAGAATAAAGTTTTCGAGGATTCGTATCGTAAAATGGCTGCCATTTACAGTATCAAGTGATTATCCCAAGCACCACCGCGACTTAGCGCGGAAATTTTAATTATAGCTAACCTCTGCGCGTATACCTTTTTCATATTTTATTGTAATAAATATTTACAAACTGTGTCTTTCGGGTTTTTTTATCAATATATAACCAATAATGAGGTTAATATGAATAAATAATCATATCTCAAATCTTTGACTATGATTTACAATGAAATTTTACCTTAAGTGTATTAAAAAGGTTTTTAATTTCCTGTGATTTTATTTTGTGATTATGCTTCAAAGCAGTCAATTGACCGTGAATTTTCTTTTCATATTTTGATTTCCTTGAAATCATTTTTCTCATCTGAAGGCATGCAACTTTAATATGGTGATACATTAATTACATTCCATGGAAATGTTAAAAGATATAATTGCGTCCATTTCATTTTTCACTTTTTTCACAGAAAGAGTCATTCGTTTTGGCAGTTGCTAATTTCATTTAAATAGCAGCTTTATAGACAAGTAAATGCACTAAAAGACTTCGTTACGTGGTACCAATTAATATGCATGTATCAACTATGTTACACCTTTAATATCTATGTCACTTGTCTATTGATCACAGATATACCGACAACACAGGATGCGCTATCTGTAGATCAGCACGTGTTCAGGTTAATGATATGCATGTGCTATTTTTAGATTGTTGATCACCAAGACGTTATACTGTACTTAACTCCACGTTAGAATTGCGTTTAAATATAAGACACAGTAGATCTAAATGTAACTCAAACGCAGACAAATGTGATAGAGCTATGCAATTTTGACTTGTTCGCAGTAATTCTTTGTGGGATTCGGTCACGATCTTTTGGTAAGTAGGAGACGGAATATTACTACAGTAGCCATTCTCTATTTTATAAAACTAATAAAGACAAAAATCAATCATAACAGAAACTAACATTTGCGTCTTGAAAACGAATTGAAACGGAACATTTTCGTTTATAATTTAATTTATTTCTTTTTTCTACTTACGCTTTAAGAGAAAATAGAAATCCTATGCATTAAGGGTGGAACCGCAGCGTGATATAGTAGTATTTTAAGGGGTGAATCGAGTGCAAAAAATATTAGCTGTTATTCTCACTAAAATTGTTCTTTGAATGACACTAAAAGTATTTATCCGTTTTATAACAATCATGTAAATTTACCCGTTTGTTAATAATCATGTAAATTCCATCAGTACTTTTAGTACTTTAATTTCATATGTGACGTCAAAGCGCGCACTTGCTAGCTAGCTAGACTGTGTCTCGCGTGAATTATTGTCTACGACAATTAAAGGCCGCGACGTCGCAAAAACATGTAACGTCTACGACACGTTTCATAAAACGGTCGTACGACGTTGTCGCAGACGTGCGGCACCGACAACAAAATGTCGTAGACAACGACAAGTTGATAACCCCCCCGCCCCCGATGTCACTAATAAGGTCATAACTTTACTGTTTTTGTTGCCATATAGTCTCTCTTTGAATTTGTAAGATATTATGATATTTTGTTAGTTTTAAATTTTCATTAAAGTCAACAAGAAATAACAAGATCAAAGGTTTCATGCGTCTGCGAATATCTTTTTTTAACTTTTTAAAAATACCATTATACATTTATATATTGAATAATAGATGATATCTGCTATTCAATAAACCATTAAAAGAATCAAAATTTTATATGTACAAAATTAATATAAGGTAAATTCATTGGTAACATTAGTGGCATAACAGTTTTGCGAATACATAGGTACCGTATTTTGTCTAAGGTTCTTACTGACTAGGTCACGTGAACCAGTGGGCGGAGCGATCCCTTCTCTGGCGTAATGTCAATTACAAACTGAATTCGGTACATCTCATTGGTCATTCTTAAATAGAATGTAAAGTATAGTTCTTACCATTCTAAAATAAAATTTTAAGGATAACTCTAAAATAAAATGTAATTAAGAGATAGTTTTGCCACTATAAAATAAAATGTAAAGGATAGTTAAGAAAATATAATGTATAGGAATGAAGATAGTGCCTAACTTTTTGGTTTTGGTTAATTTGTAAATGATTACAAAATTTATAAAATCAAGCGTAAAATAAGTTAAAGGGACACATAAAATAGAAGTTGTCACACTTTGAAAAATCATCAATATGCTATTTAATATAATTTCAATGATTTCCTTTAGCTACAAGAAATAACTATAATGTCATTGTTATGCAAGCATTGCTAATTAACATTTATTTATTTATTTATTTATTTATTTATTCATTCATTCATTCATTCTTTTATATTTATTCATTCATTCATTCTTTTATATATTTATTCATTCATTCATT